TGTGTGTGTGTGTGTGTGTGTGTGTGTGTGTGTGTGTGTGTGTGTTGAAACACCCACAGCTACACTGTGATGTCATCACATGTGAGTGGTCTAGGCGGAGCCCTTCCCTTTCTTAATTGGCAAGCAAAATCAGACTCCACTGCCCTATAGTGTGTAATTATAAGTGAATTAATGTCTGCTTCATTTGAGCTAAAGTAAGCATGGTTCCTTTTCGGCCAGGTCATATTCTAAAGTGATTTTCTGGACGCACAAGAGCACGGTGGACAGACAGATTTCAAATGGAAAGGATTTAGAATGACCAGCTCAGCTGATGAACCAGGAAAAAGGGCCTGGCTTACTTGATACGTTCCACCCTCCAGAGGCTGAACTGACAGGAAAATGCACATTCTCAAAGAATTCCCATTGCCCTATGTCCCACTGACCTTAACACTGAAAACTGGGAAGTGGCTTAATAGTCTCTTCAAAGGAGACATTTACCAGCTACTTGAGCAGAGTTTTGAGCGCCAGCTTTTTTTGCTCTTTTGAAGAGGTTGGTTTTTAACTTTAGAGAACAGTTATAAATTCTCTCACAGTCCTAGAGGTTAGTAGTCCAGAGATCTGAGGAGAGGTGAGCAGCTGCAGAATAGCCTGGCTTTTCCAAGCCCGTCTTTACCCTCGTCTACTGTGCCGTGTCTTGTTTTTTTGTATGAGGTTGGGTTAGGATCCACTGTATTCATGCGACGGATACCATCTTCATCAAAGATCCTATTTCCAAATAAACTTGTGTTCACAGGCACTGAGGTTGGAGACCCTGATATATCTTCTTGGGAGAAATCATTTATTCCATACGTGAGGATTGCTCAGCAGACCAATGATAAGGAAGCAAGGCCGAGATCACGGTTCACCTTGAGTCTCTAAGGGCCTCTCCTCCACTTCTTTGTTTCTCACGCAAGTAGAGTAATGACTGATGTCTACTGTCGCAGTCACTGATACTTTGACCAAACTCCTCGCCTTAGAGTCAGTTCTGACTCATGGGGACCCGATAGGACAGCGTCAAACTGCCCTTGAGGGTTTCTGAGACTGTAAAGCTTTACAGGAACAAACAGCTTTACCTTGTTCCCATGGAGCCTGGTGGATCCGAACTGCTGACTTGGAGGTTAGCAGCCCAATGTGTATTACACTACACCTCAGGACTCCTAACTTGCATCTAGATACCGAGTAAGTTTCTGCTATCTCTATCAAGGCCCCGTGCTTATCTTTACTTTTAATGTTTTGGGTTTGTTGTAATGGCACTGAAACAACAACTCACTGTCACCAAGTCCACCCTGACTCATAGTGGCTCTCTAGTTCAGGGCAGAACGGCATCTGTTGCATTTTACAAAGCCTTCCCTTCCTCCTACAGAGCAGCTGGTGGTTTTGAACTGCACACCTTGAGGTTAGCAGCCCAAAGCGTAACCAGTACACCATCAGGGTTCCTTTGGTGGCAGTGAGCGCAACCAGACATACATCCATTCGCAATTTTCACAAACAGTTCAATAGCACTGGCTACATACTCATCATTCTCTACCCATATTGTTTCATCTGCATTAATTTAGGCTGCCCGTCCTTCAAAGTTGTTAACCTTGCTTTAGAGTAGTGGTTCTCAGCCTGTGGGTCTCCACCCCTTTGGGGTCCAACGACCCTTTCACAGGAGTCGCCTGATTCATAACAGTAGCAAAATTACAGTTATGAAGTAGCAACGAAAATAATTTATGGTTTGGAGGGTCACCACAACATGAGGAACTGTATGAAAGGGTCGAGGCAATAGGAAGTTTGAGAATCACTGCTTTAGCTGAACTGACGTCACTTTATAAAACCAAACCCCAAAGGATGGCCATCAAGTTGATTCCAACTGGAAGCGCCCCCTAAAGGGCAGAGCAGATCTGCCCCAAAGAGTGCCCAAGGCTGTAATTTTACAGCTGCCCCATCTTTCTTCTGTGCAGCGGCGGCTGGGTTTGAACTGCCAATCTTTTGATTACAGCTGAGTGCATTAAGCACTGCACCACCAGGGTTTCTTGGTCAAGTTCTATTCATAGATAAATTTTTAATAAGAGCACCATGTTCAAGATACATGTTCTTTATTGATTGGGCTGAACTGGTGTTTCATTTTAAGGAGGATCTCATGGCACAGTGGGGGTTCAAGGTTTCAAGATGAATTCTGAGTTCTGCATGTGGAGACTTCAACTCTTGGTTTGCTGTTTAGGTCCTGAAAGAACCTAGATGGAGCTTTCCCTTTCATTTCTGTCTAAACCCCACAGTTCATTAGTAGCCGTGCCGGATCTCTGACAGTAAGACACATTCTCTTTATCTTGAGCAATCAGATGTCGAACAGCCAGTGACCGAACCTGGGGGTGCCTCCTCTGGCCTTATCCCAGTTAGTGTGGGGGTGCGGGCCGTGGTGGAGAGTGCTGGGGGGAAAGATGTGTTAAAACCCACATTTTGCAAAAAAAAAAAAAAAAAACCCACATTTTGCAGATGGGTAAACTGAGATTCAGAAAGGTTAACTCATGTGCCCTGAGCCACCTGACTAGCTAATGGCCAAGCCAGGGTCGTGCTAACATCCATTTGTTTTTCTTATCTCTGCCTGTCACCTGTCATAAGCATTTAATCTGGCAAAAGCCTGGCGTGTGTGTGTGTGTGTGTGTGTGTGTGTGTGTGTGTGTGTGTGTGTAAAAGCAACGTTTCTTGAAAATGGATCAAGCCAGCACTGTCAACTAAATGAAAAACCCAAGGCCTTTTGGATTGCTACAGAAAGAGTACTAGGATTTCTCTAGCCTCATTTTAACTCCCGACATGTTCCCCAGTTCTAGGAGCACACAGCTCTGGGAGAGAAAGAAGATAAGCTGAACTGCAGTTTAGATGAGGATTAAATAAATAAATAAATAAATAAATAAATAAATAAATAAAAGGAAAGGCATTAATTTCAGAGTCGATAATTGTAAGAACTAACCGCGTGTGGGTTAATTTTAAGGGCTTCCTTGGATTGGTCCCTCTTTGATTATGGTAGATGGAGTCACCATCTTGGGACTAAGTACAAGCCTGCTGGAAAGTTTTGAGCAGTAAAGGCTGCTGGGGGCTGATAGTTGCTATAAAGAGAAAGTTCTCGTTGACTTCATTTGAAAT